AACCCATCTGGTTCATCAATGTCCTTTAGGAAAAGAAATCTGTCATCCTTACTCTGCCTGGTCTACATGTAACTCTAGACCCACAGCAATGTATTGATTCTGAACTGCCTTCTGGGCAATAGGGATGGCAATGAATGCTAGCCTAGCCAGCGATGTCTAAACCCATGAATGAATAAAGAAAAAAACCCTCCAGACTCTGAAACATCCTTGTAAATCATTTTTGTACCCATTCCAATTTAATAACATCCTTCCAATAGCAGGGTGACAAGAATTGTATGCCGTACTTGAAATGTGGTCTTATACAGCTGTAACATGACATCCCACCTCTTGTACTCAATGCTCTGACCAATGAAGGCAAGGATGCCAAATGTCGTCTTCACCACTCTGTCTACCTGTGACTGTACTTTCAAGGAGCTATGTAACCGCACAGCTAGATGTCGCTGTGTAAGTCCTGCCCTGGTTTGTCTTACTAAAATGCAGTACCTCACATTTATCTAATTTAAACTCCATCTGCCAGTCCTTGGCCCGCTGACCCAGTTGATCAAGATCCCGTTGTACTCTTAGATAACCTTCTTCACTGTCACTATACCACCAATTTTGGTGTCATCGCAAACTTACTAACCAAGCCTCCTATATTCTCATCCAAATCATTTTAACAACAATGGACCCAGCACTTAACTGCCTTCTGAGCAATTAAGGGTGGGGTAATAAATGCTGATCTGGCCAATGACCCCCACATCCTGTGAATGAATTGAAGAAAACTGTTGGTTAGGCCATGGCTAGAGTATTATGTGCAGTTTTGGAATCCACATTATAAGAGGGATGTGATTACATTGAAAAGGGTGCAGAGGAGATTGACCAGAATGTTGTCAGGGCTGGGGAATTTCAGTTATGAGGAGAGATTGAATAGACTTGTATTGTTTTCCATAGAACAGAGGCAGTTGAGAGGGGATATGATTGATACATCTAAAATTAGGAGGGGCAGTAGATATACTAGACAAGAAACATTTCCCCTTGATGGAGGGATCAATGATCAGGGGAGTAAATTTAAGGTAAGGTGCAGAAAGTTTACAGTGAATGTGAAGAAAAGCATTTTCACCCAGAACGTGATAAGAATCTGAAACTCACTTCCTGTAAGGGTAGTAGAGGCAGAAAACCTCATAATAATTGAAGTATTTAAATGTGCACTTGTGATGCGCAAGGCATGGACAGAGTGTTAGAATTAGAATAGTTAGTGGTTGCTTTTGACTGATGCAGATACAATGAGCTGAAGTGCCTTTTTCGGTGCTGTAGACCTGTATGACTCAATGGTCATTTGTCTTGCTTTTGTGTGGCATGAATATTACTTGCCACTGTTCAGCCAAACCTGGGTAACGTCCAGATCTTATTGCATTTGGACACTGACTGCTTCAGTATCTGAAGCAACAGAAATGGTGCTGAACATTGTGCAGTCATTGGCAGACAGCCCCACATCTGACCTCATGATGGGCCCAAGGATGAAGCACCTGAAGATGGTTGGGCCTAGGACACTACCCTCCAGATTTCCTGATGTGGAGGTGCTGGTGTTGGACTGGGATGGACAAAGTCAGAAATCTCACAACGCCAGGTTGTAGTCCAACAGGTTTATTTGAAATCACAAGCTTTCGCAGCACTGCTGAGGAACTCCTGCAGAGGTGTCCTGAAGCTGCGGTGACTGACCTCCAACTACAACAACCATATTCATATGTGCCATGTGTGACTCTAACCAACATAGTTTGCCCCGATTCACGTTGATTCCAGCTTTGCTAGACCTCCTTGTGCCACACTCTGTCAAATAGAGCCTTGATGTCAATGTCTGTCACTCTCACCTCACTCCTCGAATTTAGCTCCTGTGTCCGTGTTTGAACAAAGGCTGTAATGAGGTCAGGAGCTGAGTGGCCCTGGCGGAACCCAAACTGGGCGTCACTGAGCAGGTTATTGCTGAGCAGGTGCTGCTTGCTAGCACTGTTAATGACCCCTTCCATCACTTTATTGATGATCGAGAATAGACTGATGGAGCTCTTTCAGTACAGTTACAACATTGGCATCCACCCGACAAAATGGAAAATTGTCCAGGTATGTCCTGTACACAAAAAGCAGGACAAATCCAACCCAGCCAATTACCGTCCCATTGTTTGTCAGGTGGATACCAGTGTTGTAACTGTACTGAAAGAGCTTGGCTACGGGAACAGCAAATTCTGGAGCACAAGTCTTCAGTGCTATTGCCAGAATATTGTCAGTGCCCATATCCTTTGCAGTATTGAATGCCTCCATCTGCTGCTTCGTACCGTGTGGAGTTAATTGAATTGGCTAAAGACAGGTATCTGTAATGCTGGGGACCACTGGAGAAGGCAGAAGTGGATCATCTAGTCGGCACCTCTGGCTGAAGATTGCTGTGAATGCTTCAGCCTTTTGCATTCATGTGCTGGGCTCTTCTGTCATTGAGGACTGGATATTTGTGGAGCTGCCGCATCCAGTGAGATGTCGCCACCATTCATGACTGTATGTGGAAAGGATGCGGAACTTAGATCTGATCCATTGGTTGTGGGATTGTTTAGCTCTGTCAATCTTAGAAATGCGTCATGTGTTGGCACAGTCTTGGGCCAAATGAATTATTCCTGTGGTGTACTATTCTTTTATCACTTGCTGCTTGTGCTGTCTGACATGCAAGTAGCCCTGTTTGGTGGCTTCACCAGGCTGACACCTCATTTTTGGGTATGCCTAGTGCCACTCCTGGCATGCCCTCATGCACTCTCCATTGAACCAGGGTTGATCCCTTGGTTTGATAGTAATGGTTGAGTGAGGGATTTTCTGGACCATGAGGTTGCAGGTTGGGCTGGAGCGCAATTCTGTGTTGTTGATGGCCCACAGCGTCTTATGGATACCCAGTCTTGAGTTAACAAAGAACAAAGAAAATTACAGCACAGGAACAGGCCCTTCAGCCCTCCAAGCCTGCGCCGATCCAGATCCTCTATCTAAACCTGTCGCCTATTTTCCAAGGATCTGTATCCCTCTGCTCCCTGCCCATTCATGTATCTGTCTAGATACATCTTAAATTACTCTATCATGTCTGCCTCTACCACATCCACAGGCAACGCATTCCAGGCACCCACCACCCTCTGCGTAAAGAACTTTCCACGCATATCTCCCTTAAATTTTTCCCCTCTCACCTTGAAATCGTGACCCCTAGTATCTGAGTCCCCCACTCTGGGAAAAAGTTTCTTGCTATCCACCCTGTCTACACCTCTCATGATTTTGTAGACCTCAATCAGGTCCCCCCTCAACCTCTGTCTTTCTAATGTAAATAATCCTAATCTACTCAACCTCTCTTCATAGCTAGTGCCCTCCATACCAGGCAACAACCTGGTGAACCTCTTCTGCACCCTCTCCAAAGCGTCCACATCCTTTTGGTAATGCGGCGACCAGAACTGTACGCAGTATTCCAAATGTGGTCGCACCAAAGTCCTATACAACTGTAACATGACCTGCCAACTCTTGTACTCAGTACCCCGTCTGATGAATGAAAGCATGCCGTATGCCTTCTTGACCACTCTATCGATCTGCGTTGCCACTTTCAGGGTACAATAGACCTGAACACCCAGATCTCTCTGTGCATCAATTTTCCCCAGGGCTTTTCCATTTACCGCATAGTTCGCTCTTGAATTGGATCTTCCAAAATGCATCACCTCGCATTTGCCTGGATTGAACTCCATCTACCATTTCTCCGCCCAACTCTCCAATCTACCTATACTCTGCTGCATTCACCGACAGTCCCCTTCACTATCTGCTACTCCACCAATCTTAGCGTCATCTGCAAACTTGCTAATCAGACCATCTATACCTTCCTCCAGACCATTTATGTATATCACAAAATGCTGGCTCTGTTCAGAGTTTGTCCCATTTACCAAAGTGATAGTGCAACACAGTATGATGGAGGGTATTTTTAATCTTAAGGTGGGACTGGGCAGTTGAGTCAACCTCAAAGTGAATGGGGTTGCTGTGGGTCTGGAGTCACATGTAGGCCAGATTGGCTAGGAATTTCAGATATCCTTCCCTGAAGGATATTAGTGAACCAGATGTGTTTTTCTGACCGTTGACAATGGTTTTATTTCATAGATTCTTGATTCCTGATATTTACTGGATTTAAAATTTTACCAACTGCGGTGTCAGGATTTGAACTTGGGTCCCCATTCACTGAGTTTCTGTACTAACAGTTGGGTGAAGAATAAAACATTGGTGCAGACAAATGCAGGTCCCTTCCAGCTGTAACAACATCTAACAATTGACACTGTCCAAGGCAGCCAGCTTCTTCGGTACCCTATCCCTCACCCTAAATATTCTCTCCTTTCATCAGTGACATGCAGCGACAGCAGTGTGCAGAATCCACACGTTTCACCTAGCGACTCACCAATCTTCTCTAACAGCATCTTCCAAACCACCATTTCTATCACCTAGAACAACTGGGACAGCAAAACCTGAGTTTCCTCTTCAGGTTACACCATTCTGACATGTAATTATATTACTGCCCTTCATTCCACAGCAACTTCCTCCATAATAGCACTGTGGGTGTATCAACACAACATAAACAGTAACAGTTCTGGAAGGCAGCTCACTGCCACTTTCTCAAAGACAGTTGTTATGGGAGATATGGGAATAAATGCTGGCCTAGCCAGCAATGCTCATGTTCCCTTAATGAAAATCAGCAAATTACCTTCGGGCTTCCATCTATGAAAATAGACAATGGCTGATGGCTAACTAAACTTTCCAGAAGCTTACTGTCATCTCTTTGTCCACAAACGTAAATAAGATTCAGTTTGCTTTTTCATGGCCTTGTTTATATGCATACATCTTTTAATGACCTCTCTTACTTGACATTTTTTACTCCACATTGTAAATACTGTTTTGTTTCAATATATTTAATTTTTAAATTGAACAACCAATGCAATGTGACTGTGTTTTCATGAAGCTTTTTGTTTTTGTAGGGCCTTCGTTTCTCTGGGACAAACGAGACTGAATATAGAGTTTATTTATTGGGAAACCCTGTAAGTACTCAACCAGCAGCCTATGAAATTAAAGTATTGTTTAATGATTAGAGAAAACAATGCAGAAAGATGATTGTTGCAGATTGAACCAATTAACATAGAAATGCTGTGTCAGACTAACTACTTCTTTTCTGAAGAAGGGTCCTGACCCGAAATATCAGCTTTCCTGCTCCTCTGATTCTGCCTGGCCTGCTGTGTTTCTCCAGCTCCACACTGTGTTATCTTTTAATGGTCTCTCCCAATCAGATGGACACTATCAAAAAGCTGTTCAGCGTGTTGCTGCTTTCCAGAGTGTTAGTTTTTAAAAGTATAATGCAGCATTGATGGAAGCCAACTATGTGTGCTTATTATTTGGAAGATCTATCTAATCAACATTCCCAATATCTATGTAAATGTTTCCACTTTAAGTATTAATCAAATTCCCTTTTAAAAGTAACTGTTGAATCTGCTCCTGGATACTATTGTAAGAGTGCATTTGAGATCACAACTTACTGTATTGTTTCATTCCATCTCTGATTATTTTTCAAGTTATTTTTCAACTACTGATCCTTCTGCAACTGAAACAGCTTCTCCTTACTTACAGAGTATCAAAACCCTTCATGATACCATGGATAAACTGCCAGGACCAGATATAATGTATCCCAGGCTGTTAAAATCAAAATCTAGGGAGGAAATAACAGAACATTTGACCATCACTCCACTGTATCCACTGTGGTGTTGGGCAGTTGAAGGAGTGCAGATATTATTATCTTTGTGGGTGGAGGGTGGATTGACTGAATAATTACAGGCCAGTCAGTCTGACCTCACGAATGAACAAATTATTGGTTAGACCCCACATCGAAATACCATGAGCAGATCTGGGCACCACATCTTAGGAAGGGCATATTGGCCTTGGAGGGGGTACAACATAGGTTTACAAGAATGATACCTGGACTTCAGCATTAAGTTATGAGGAGAGATTACACAAATTAGGCCTGTTTTCTTGAATTTATTGCGAAAAGGATAAATAGGATGGTCACTAGGACTTTAAACGAGTGAGTTGGGGGGAAGGGAGAGAGAAAACGACAGGGAGTATGATGGTAAATAAAAAGGTAAGCAGCAGGTTAGCATGTATGCAGGAGGGTTTAAGTTCAAGGCAGACTATGAAAGAAGCAAAAAGGAAGGATAATTCAGGAGATATTATTAGAGATGTTCGAAATCAGGAGGGTAAGAAAGCTAGCATAAAGGCACTTTACCTGAATGCTCGTAGCATTTGTAACAAGGTTGATGAGTTAACGGCACAAATCATCGCGAATGAATATGATTTGGTAGCCATTACGGAGACGTGGTTACAGGATGGTCACGACTGGGAGTTAAGTATCCAAGGGTACCAGACTATTCGGAAGGACAGACAGACAGGAAGGTAAGGGAGGTGGTGCAGCTCTGATATTCAAGGACGCCATCAGGGCGGTACTGAGAGATGATATAGGTTCTATGGAGAATGAGGTTGAATGCATTTGGGTGGAAATTAGAAATTCTAAGAGGAAAAAGTCACTGATAGGCATAGTCTATAGGCCACCAAATAATAACATCACATTGGTGCGGGCAATAAACAAAGAAATAACTAATGCCCGTAAAAATGGTACGGCAATTATCATGAGGGATTTTAACCTACATGTAGATTGGTCGAACCAGCTCGGTCAGGGTAGCCTTGAGGAGGAGTTCGTTGAGTGTATCCGTCATAGTTTTCTTGAACATTATGTAATGGAACCAACGAGGGAGCAAGCTATCCTAGATCTGGTCCTGTGTAATGAGACAGGAATAATTAATGACTTCATAGTTAGGGATCCTCTTGTAAGGAGTGATCACAGTATGGCTGAATTTAGAATACAGATGGAAAGTGCGAAGATAAAATCCAATACCAGGGTCCTGTGCTTGAACAGGGGGAACTACAATAGAATGAGGGAGGACTTGGCTAAAGTAGACTGGAAACAAAGATTTTATGGTGGAACAGTTGACGAGCAGTGGAGGACTTTCAAAGCAATCTTTCAAAGTGCTCAGCAAAAGTATACTCCAATGAAAAGGAAGGACTGTAAGAAAAAGGGTAATCTGCCATGGGTGTCTAAAGAAATAAGGGAGGCTATCAAATTGAAAGAGAAGGCATACAAAGTGGCCAAAAACAGCATGAAACTAGAAGACTGGGAAAACTTTAAAGGTCAACAGAAAGCCACAAAAAGAGCTATAAAGAAAAGTAAGATAGAACATGAGAAAAAACTAGCACAGAATATAAAGACAGATAGCAAAAGTTTCTATAAATAGATAAAATGAAAAAGAGTGGCTAAAGTAAACGTTGGCCCTTTAGAGCATGAGAAGGGGAATTTAGTTATGGGATATGATGAAATGGCCGAGGCATTGAACAGGTATTTTGTATCGGTCTTCACAGTGGAGGACACTAATAACGTGCCAGTAATAGACAAAGAGACGAAGGTAGGTGAGGACCTGGAAACAATCATTATTACGGAAGAGGTAGTGTTGGGCAAGCTAATGGAGCTAAGGATTGGTAAGTCTCCTGGCCCTGATGGAATGCATCCCAGGGTACTAAAAGAGATGGCGGGAGAAATAGCAGATGCACTGGCGGTAATTTTCCAAAATTCGCTGGACTCTGGGGCAGTCCCAGCAGATTGGAAAACAGCAAATGTGACGCCACTGTTTAAAAAGGGAAGTAGACAAAAGATGGGGAATTATAGACTGGTTAGCTTAACCTCTGTAGTGGGGAAGATGCTTGAATCTATTATCAAGGAAGAAATAGCAAGGCATCTTGATAGAAATTGTCCCGTTGGGCAGACACAGCATGGGTTCATGAAGGACAGGTCATGCTTGACAAATCTTTTGGAATTTTATGAAGACATTACGAGCGAGGTGGACAATGGGGAACCAGTGGATGTGGTGTATCTAGATTTCCAAAAGGCCTTCGACAAGGTGCCGCACAAGAGGCTACTGCTTAAGATAAGGATGCATGGAATTAAGGGTAAAGTATTAGCATGGATAGAGGATTGGTTGACTAACAGGAAGCAAAGAGTGGGGATAAATGAGTGCTATTCTAGCTGGCAGTCAGTGACTAGTGGTGTGCCTCAGGGGATCGGTGTTGGGACCGCAATTATTTACAATTTATATAGATGATTTGGAGTTGGGGACCACGTGTAGGGTGTCAAAGTTTGCAGGTGACACTAAGATGAGTGGCGGAGCAAAGTGTACAGAGGACTGTGAAACTTTGCAGAGGAACATAGATACATTGAGTGAGTGGGCAAAGGTCTGGCAGATGGAATGCAATGTAAGTAAATGTGAAGTCATACATTTTTGGTAGGAGTAATAGTAAAAAGGATTATTACTTGAATGGTAAAAAGTTGCAGCATGCTGCTGTGCAGAGGGACCTGGGTGTCCTTGTGCATGAATCACAGAAGGTAGGTCTGCAGGTACAACAAGTAATTAGGAAGGCAAATGGAATTTTGTCCTTCATTGCTAAAGGGATTGAAATTAAAAGCAGAGAGGTTATGTTGCAGCTGTACAAGGTGCTGGTGAGGCCACACCTGGAGTACTGTGTGCAGTTTTGGTCTCCTTACTTGAGAAAGGATGTATTGCCACTGGAGGGGGTGCAAAGGAGGTTCACTAGGTTGATTCCGGAGAGGGGGTTGGCTTATGAGGAGAAACTGAGTAGATTGGGATTAGATTCATTGGAATTCAGAAGATTGAGGGCGGATCTTATAGAAACACATAAAATTATGAAGGGAGTAGATAAGGTAGAAGTAGAGAGGATGTTTCCATTTCTGATGAAGGGTCTAGGCCCGAAACATCAGCCTTTCTGCTCCTCTGATGCTGCTTGGCCTGCTGTGTTCATCCAGCTCTGCACCTTGTTGTCTAGGATGTTTCCACTGGCAGGTGAAGCTAGAACAAGAGGGCATAGCCTCAAGGTTAGAGGGAGCAGATTTAGGACTGAATTGAGAAGGAATTTCTTCACCCAGAGGGTTGTTAATCCATGGAATTCCTTGCCCAGTGAAGTAGTTGACGCTACTTCAGTAAACGTTTTTAAAAAAAAGGTAGGTTTTTTTTTGAACAACAAAGGAATTAAGGGATACGGTGAGAATGCGGGTAAGTGGATCCGAGTCCACGAAAAGATCAGCCATGATCTTATTGAATGGCAGAGCAGGCTCGAAGGGCCAGACGGCCTACTCCTGCTCCTAGTTCTTATGTTCTTATTTAGATGGGTATGGGATGAACTGATCGAAGTCTTCTAGATATTAACAGGAAAAGACAGGGTGGGCAAAGATAAATTATTTCCAATGGTAAGTGATTCTAGAACTCGGGGCACAGACTAAAACTTAAGACCATACTATTGAGGGAGATGTTTGGAAGCACTTCAACAAAGGGTGGCAGATGTTTGGAAATCTCTTCCACAAATGGTAGTTAATGCTAGATCAGTTGTTAATTTTAAATCTAAGACAGACAAAGGTTTGTTGAGCAAAGGATTTTTGGATAATGGCTAATGGCAAGTGTATGAAGTTAAGCCACAGATCAACAATGATTTCATTAAATGGTGGAATAGGCTCAAGGGGCTGAATGGCCTACTCCTGTTCCCATATAATTCTGAGATAGGATAAACTATCAATTGAAAGGCACATTGTAATTGAGCATAGCTGAAATAGATTTGTGACAGGAAGATCATGTTTGATAAACTTGATTGTAGTTTTTTGAGAAAGTGATCTGGAGAATTGATCAAACAGTACAGTACAGCACAGGAACAGGCCCTTCAGCCCACCGAGACTATGCCAAAGCATATGACACCGGGGTTATAGTCCAACAGGTTTATTTGAAATCACGAGCTTTTGAAGCGCTGCTCCTTTGTGAAGTGAAGGAAAGCACACAGGCACGACATTTATAGGCAGAGAGATCTAAAGATAGTACAAATGGTGTGAGTAGAGTGTCGACAGGCTGAATAACAAGTCTCTGCAGGTGATCAAAAGTATTAGATGGTGCGAGTAAAATGTCAACATAAGAATACCAAATGAGGGGATGACCTATGATCCGATTAATTGAGGCAGAGAGATAATTACAAAAAATTAAAAATAAGATGCTGCTTGCCTAGATGAGTGTAGCTCCAGTAGCCCTCAAAAAGCTCGACACCATCGTGGATAAAGCAGCCTTCTTGATTGGCACCGCATCCACAAATGTTCACACTCTCCTCTACCGATGCTCAGTAGCTCAACTCCGCAATGGATTGCAGAAATTCATCAAGGCTCCTTTGATGTCACCTTCCAATCCCAAACCATTACAAGAAAGGACAAGGGCAGTAGCTGCACGGAAACACAATCACCATTGTCACTGGCTGAAATTCCTGAAACTGCCTTCCCAGCAGCACTGTGTGTGTGCCTGCAGCCCATGGACTGCAGCTCACCACCACCACCTTCTCATGGGCAGTCAGCTGAGCAACAGATGGTGGCCCAACTGGGGATAGTTTCTACATGTAACTCCAGACCCAATGTAACTTCACTCTGGGCAATTATGGATGACAATAAATGATGATCCAGCCAGATGTCCATGTACTGTGAATGGAATAAAAAATCAGGTACCCCCTCAACTTTTTCTTTTCTAAGAAAAACAACTGCAACTTCTCTGTTCTCTCTCCATAGCTGAATCGCTCCTGCCCAGACAGCTTCCAGGTGAATGCACCCTCTGTATTGCAGTCACTTTCTTCCTATAGTGCGATGACCAGAACTGCACATGGTACCTTAGCTGGGACCTACTTAACTAATGACCCAGGGGCCTTAAAAGATCCTGTGGACTTTGCTTTTAAATTTTTTTTCCTAGGGATTACTGACATCCTTTTAAGTTGATTATAATCCTGAGGTACTGTCTCCCATGTTTAGGATCCCTAATCTACTGTATGTTTCGTGAATTGACAGGACCCTAAAGTGTCCAACAACCTTGTCCCAGAGAATCGTGGAATGTGAGGGGTTGTCAATTCGTGTCCATTACCTGGTCTGTGAACTGTATTCATGTCGCGCAATTTGTAAAATTCAAGATAAAGTAGACCAGAAGTCATGCTTTTGTTTAAACACATTTAAATCTTTATTTAAAGTTATTCCTGAAAGTTCTTTATTAATAAAGAAAATTTATTGCAGGAAATTACAGATATCAAAATTAGAAATGTCAAATAAGATGAAAGGTGTACTCAAAGAAAGCAAGTCCCGTTGTGAATTTGCAGTGAACTATTGTGGCCTGTTGCTGAAGTGATAAAGTTAACATCTGAATTCAGGTCCAGCAGCTGCAATGGCTTCTCTATTTGAATGGATATTGTGTTTTCATAGGTAGATTCTGCAGAACACCAGACTTTGGGAGAGTGAGATTGGGTGTCATTCCTGGCTTTTGGTTCTGACATAGCTGCCTAGCTACTTTACAGTAGATCCCTAATTTTGTCAACATCTCTTTGTCCCTGTCTGTGCCTGAGAAGGTGTTCCTTCCTGCATAGTTTGCGAGAACGATGGATATGATATGCCCCTGCTACGTGTGTTTTCAGAAGGGGCAGCACACAAAATAAGGCAGGCACTGAAACCAGCAGCATGCTCACCATATGCAAACAAATGAAGAACAGTCAATCATTGACTTGTGTATTACTCTCCCCATGCTATGATATGGTGAAAGTAGATAACCTTTCACTTTTTAAAAAAAAGTTGGGAAAATATAGGAATACTGTCTTTGGAGGTTGCTCTTTGCCCGTTTTTATACCCACCCCAATGTTGGTATTTCTTCCTTTTCTACCCGTATTTTAAAACCCACCACTCCGACCTTACCCTGATGCCCAATGCTCCTGTCTGGGGTTCCATTGTGCCTACCTTGTTGGCCTGCCTGCAGTGCCAGCAGTGCCCACTATGGAACTGTCAAGCTGCCAGGAATATTGGAACTGCTAGCCTTTAGATTAGCCAGCAGCTCAGCAAATGGCACTGTGTGCTGCCTGCAAAGCTGGCTTGGTCTGTAGGCTCACCATCAGTGTTCCTTCCATGTGAGTGAGCTATCCACTCATCACCTCCTAATATATTCCTGCCTGCAATCTGTGTGTGTCCCTTGCTCGCTCTCTCTCTCTCTCTCGCTCGCTCTCCCCCTCTCTTCCCCTCCCTCTCTTCCCCCCCTTCCCCCGCC